AGTAACACACAGCTGGCTAAGGCGGTTAAAAGGCTTCTTACAACCGAAAGGGGGCGCACAGATTGAGAGCATACTCTGTGTAGTACTAAAATTCGGAAAGCTGAGATGTTGTCATAGTATGCCATTTTTAGTGACTAGTTTGTCGTTTTTTGCTCCGTTTCTCGTTTGCTCGTTTGGTAGGACTCATCAATAATGATCATTCTTTGACTTTTTCACTTTTGTACTTCTTAAACGAATTTTTTGTGGACGGTGGGGTAGCAGGGCTTTTTTATGAACAGTTTTGGGGGAGAATTAGACAACCTTTTCATAGTTCGGCTTCGCCTCGCTTGACCCAGCTTGTACATCGGCTGGCCCCCGCAAGTCATTGTATAGGCCACATCGCATTCAAACGCCACTACGAATGTACAAATGGAAGTAGAATGCGTGCCGCATCCCAAAAAGGGATTGGTCAACTGCATGCGTCACCGCGCCGTGGGCGAGAATTCGCCAATGGCTTGCCGATACCATGCTAAGAGGGAATTAGGGGGAGCAAGAAGATATCTCGGTTTGACTCCAATCGTGATCCTCAACAACAAGAACGCTTTGCTCCGCTTAAGAACAGCAGCCTTGATTCTCTTTCAAAGCGGATGAACAGTGTTCGCGCAGCTTCCCGTACGTGACACTTCACAGAGATATCACAATTACTTGGTTGCAATCGAACAGAGAAGTTATTCCTTATGGAAGTCAGTTTCTACTAACAGAAATTAGATCGCTAATTCAATTTTTGTAGGAGCTGGGATTGATTTACTTATTTTGCAACAACTTAGCAGTAAGTGTAGTGAGACAGTGATTCACCTTCACTCCATCTGATCTCTTGCCCAAATCGAATCCATTGTTATTCCGTAACATTTCTGGTAAGTAGAACAGTTCTGGTATGAGCTCCTAAAAAGGCATGGTTAGAGATCGATCTTATCTTGATCCAGGTTTCTTCATTTCTGTAAATCACAAATATATATTCTCTGTCTTTACGTGAATCCAACTCTTTTTCACTCACCATCAAAATCTGCTTCAATGCTAAGGGAGAGAGAGCTTGTTAAGGGCAGTTTCAACAGTTCCTTTTGCAATCAAGGTATCTACCGTTCTCACATTGCAGCCATTCCCCCTTTCACTATCGCAGATTGTGTCTTCAGAGTATCGCTTACCTGATGTATTCATTTTTTCGCTGACTGAGGGATAACCATATTCGCCCCTTTACACGAGATACTTAACGATTCATTCCATTAAACCAAACAAGGAGGTTCTCCTATGTGTAAGCATGACGCACCATTTGCGCAATCACAGTAGGTTAATGGAATCAGAAAAGTCTTAAATTTTGCTTGGTGCTTTCAGTAGTGAGGGCGAAAACTATGTGGAACGTTCTTGCTACAATCCCTTGTTCACGCACGAGCAGTTTGCTTGTAGTGGGACTAGCTGCACTGCAAATCATCTTTGCAAATCGATTAAGAATCCTCCTAACCAATAACAAAACAGTTGCAGTTGTTACACAATTGCTTAATGAAGGGTCGGGAAGACTTCAATACTCTACCTTGATCATTCGTGAGAATTCTTTTTGACAATGGCGTCCTCCATGTTTTCGGCAATGTTCGTGAAATACAACTCGAATCTGCAGATGCATCAAATCGACCCCATTCTGAATGCAAGGACAGCCTGTCCGGTGAATCGGCCTCCTAAATAAAAATTAACACTCTAGTTATCCGATAAGTCACATTTTCTAAATTGGTAAAAGAGTAAGGAAAGAAATTTTGATGCCGGCATATCAGGCATGTACTGTAAGTCCGTGGCGATATGTATCCTGAGCGTGCAGACAATTTCTCTCCTACTCTCACTTGCCGCTCCTGAAAAATCATGATCTTCGTTCCCAAATAAACCTCGCCCTAGGATCCGAGCGAATGTAGGAATGAAAACTGCTCCATCACTTACGTAGCCAACTAACTTAGGGCAAAACCTCGGTACTAATTTCTTTCGCGGAGCAAAGAAGTCAGGTGTTAAACATATTTCGAGACGTTGGCAAGAGTGACGTGACTTTCTCAAGCCTCCGACCACCATGCAAATGTTTCGTTTTTGGGACAGGGACAGCGTTGAACCCTATTTTACGGTACAATGTGATATGAGGATTTCGGAGAGCTTTGCGCCCTCTTTTCCTCTCTCTCATTGCACGCTACTGCTTCCAACATCAAAGCTTTTAACTGAACAGGCGCGATAAAAAATTCCCGAGTTTCCTTCATACTCTTCGGTTTTCGCCCTCGTGCATAGGGGCAAGCTTCAAGAATTTCCAAACCCTTCGCAAAACGAATAGACAACAGCTCTACGCTGAAAGATGCGATGTTTTTCGCAAAACAGTTCAAAAGAAGAGCAACAGTGATCCAGTTCGATCAGCACTACGGCATTCACTAATATTATTAGTAATTTTTCAACCCCTTAATATTACTAGTACCAAACAGTTTATTTAATAAAATGAATGATCCTATACTGACCACTCTCATCAACCAATTCAAGGGTGAAGGCTTGGGTTGAGTAATGCGTCCCATAGTGGAACGCCGGAATCGCCTCGTCTTCCCATGAAGTGTAACGTTCTTGGAAGTATTTCCGACGAGACTCGGACAAGGCGCCGATAGGCTGAAATGATCGAGAAAAAGTGCTAATAGACAGCTGTTACCACAACTCTGCGCCAATCAGGTGCAGAGCTATCCAAGCCGAGTTCATAAAAACAGAACCAGCTGACTGGCTCTGACTATAATAAAACTCGACGAACTTCGAAATTTACCTTCGACAAGTCCCTAAAATTTGCCGCGACGTTGAGATCGAGCTGCTCCGCAGAATAATTAGTGAGGATCCACGGGAACACCGGATACTGATTCAGATCGTTGAATGTCCTACCGGCCACCGTGTTCAGGAACATCAAGTAGTCAAAGTTGGAGATCTCACGCTGGAAAATATGAATTCGAAAATCTGACTATCGGAAACATGGACACATTCCAGTAGAAGCTGAAGCGCTATTCTTCATAACTATTGACGGAATCGTAACTGAAAGTACCCTAGCAAGATTGATCTCAGAAAGAAAATTACCTTCTGCCATTTCAGGCACATGTCCGAATGCTTGAACAGCTGCCGTGGAGTCATCAAGCTCGTCTTTCGACTTTGAGGCAGACCATACTTCACTCCAACTCCTACACGCGGAAGCTGATAGACGACATTTCGCACGGTCTCTTGATCGGCAAACGCGAACATGATGGCAGCTGAAGAGAGAAGTAAAAGTTCCCCGCACAAGCTCAAAGTTGGAAGCTTACTTCTTGTAGCAAGGAATAGCTCCAGAGCGATGTTCTGAAGAAGGTGCCGACGTAAGAATACCGCACGAATTTCTTGTAAATTCCATCTTCCATGCAAGGACTCACAGTACCGTAGGACCTAGAAATGCAAGCGTTTACTTGGAAATTCACAACTGAGAATAAGGTTATTCGGTTGAGTGACAAATCAGATCAGGATCATTCCAAATCGCATTGAATCAGCCCACTGTCACATCGCTCACAACTTCACTTCTCATCAAAATGTGACAAGTGCGCAACCGATTCAATCACACCTGACTGAACGCACATCAGAGGCGGCAGAGAACAGAAAGAACAAAGACAATCCCGATAATATACCTAATCGTTAACTATCACGTCAGGAATGCCGCTAAAGGAAACGGACGGACTAAGTACTAATGAAATTTCATAAAAATATAGAGCCTATGAAGAGATTTCAACCTCTGTTGAGAAACTGCCGCAACTGGACCGGCACAGTATCCCATTACAGCAAGTCATAGGAAATAGCGATTTTGCAAGTGGTGAGGTACTACGTGACGATATAACTCGATTTCCAGAGCAACATCGCGATGAGGTGATCTGAACAGTCTATCCGTAGTAAGATAGTTAATATACGAAGCCCTTAAAATTCACAGTTGTGTCGTTGTAACGGCTCTTAAGTGCGCGACAATAGCCCTAGGGTCTTATAAAGAGAGCTTATGACGGCTAATAAGAGCTCATGGACGAGATATCTCGCGTACCCCCCCCCCTCCCCATGACAAGCAACGTGGATTAACGTAGTGGCTACTAACTACGGTGCGGTTTAGTAGGAGCCATATAAGAAATTAGGTTTCAAGAAGAGCTTCGTTCGATACGCCTCTCTCAGTCCGAACAGGAGGAAGACTTTACTTCTAGAACTTCATCGACGTTGCTGTTGCACTTCTTTTTGTTTTCTCGATATTATCACGTCAACCTTCGGCATCCACAATTTCATTATCGACCGCTCTTAGCCCACCAATTTGATCTGGGGTTTTTGCTTTGGAAGCTTTGATCCACCTATCCTGTATACTCTTTCATCTATCCACGTTCCATTAACAGTGCGTTATCTCGACTGTCGATTGACGAAGGCAATAATGAGACGACTAGAATGCTCGGCAGGAACCCTTCTGTTGCCGTACTTACAGCAGGGAAGAGGCTGAGGGTCTAGGGCAGAATACGCGTGCAACCGGGTGACCGGGTGACTCTTTAGTTTATCTAAAACCTTAAGAGAAATTTCATTTTATCTCTACGTGGATAGAAGAAGAGTACAGCTGGCTTCGCCATGTCACGGACGCTAAAGCAGTGCATCATAGGTGAGCTTCGGTGGCACAGCGACAGCGCAACAACGTTGGTTGCTATGCCTTGCGAGGCTCTTCTTACCATCGCACATCCACTGCATGCCTAGCGAATTAGTGGAGTTGCAAAGAAAGGCAAATGATACATAAAAACTCTTCCCTAAAAACATTTAGAATCGCTCCCGAGGTCCAAGCCGTAATAAGCAAAACATATTTATGGGTGCTTTCTAGAGTAAACAGAGAAAGAGCGATTCCTTCCTAGCTCAGACAAAAGCCAATTGTGGACACTTTCGGGCAGTAGTGTCGAAATTATATCGCCTCAAGGCACTCAAAGCACCACAAAGAAGAGGGATCACACTCCACAGAAGGGCTCCAAGTCGCAACAAAAGGAACTTCAAGTGGAAAATAAAAGAAGAAAAGCCACCTATTGCGCCGAAATTAAGCGCCTAAACTTCCAGTTAGGTCGGGTGTGTTGTCACAGAGAGACAGAGTGACCAGAGAAGATAAACCACGCGATGGAGCACGCTGATCTCGACACCAATCGCGGAAGGTGTGTATGGTTGCAGTGAGGGTGGATGGTTGCAAGCCTGTAACGATTAGCGTCTCAACCGCAGATTTGGTGCAACGAAACTGGCACAAGCTGTGTAAGTACGGACGCTCACTCGCAGCGTAGTTCCTACCAGTGGGCCTGATTTTGGGGCCTTGACTTTATGACGACCGGATAAACAGCAACAGGATCTGTCGGAAGTGACACCAAGAGAAAACTGGTGATGTCATTCCCGATTTCCTTGCATTGAAACCCTGAGACGGACCACGAAAATGAGCTTTGTTTTGCGGGTTTCAGATGGTTTCCTAATTTTTCCACTGATGATAAAGTCGAAAGTCTCACATTTCACTCCCGCACGCCGCAACCAACTCCGCGCTACTCTGGCTACTATATCTGGATCCAATAGTACAGCAACCAACGTCAAGGAAAATGCCGCCAACTGTATCGAGACAGCTCGTCTGTTATCCGGACGCTCATCGCTCAGCCGAATGTCACTAATTACTGCCCTCGCGTGTTCGCACCGTGTGACACGCAACACTCTTAGGAAACTTCTGAAGATTCCATGTCACCTCAATAGATGGCGGAAGGTTGGACTTGTCTAGCGCAGGAAAGCAGGAAAGAAAAGCTGTGAGAATGGATGACGCAAAAACTGGAACTGGCTTAGAACTAAGAAAGCCGTTCGACAAAGAAAGTACTGGCAGGAGCAGGGATCGAACGTAGCTGAACGCAAAAAGAAGAGGACAACCAATCGCATCGCATAGCTTCAAGAAGTGAAAATATCATTTGTCCTATACGCTACACTGCCAACTAAAACTATATGTGACGAATAATTTATGCCGATCGCACAATCACATTTCAGCAAACCTCTCGTATAGGCTCACTTGGTCACCGTTCCCCACCTTCATCGTCCCATACGTACCTATACCGTAATGGCAAACTTGC